AATACTTCGTCAGCACAAAAGCACAAAAGCACAAAAGCACAAAAGCACAAAAGCACAAAAGCACAAAAGCACAAAAGCACAAAAGCACAAAAGCACAATACTTCTTTTGCCTTGCACAGAAGCAAAGAAGTAGGGCTCACAATTTATTAGAAGTANAGCACAAAAGCACAAAAGCACAAAAGCACAAAAGCACAAAAGCACAAAAGCACAATACTTCTTTTGCCTTGCACAGAAGCAAAGAAGTAGGGCTCACAATTTATTAGAAGTAGGCAAGAAGTGAAATACTCATAAACACAGAAATTTAAATTATTTAAACCATATTATGGTGCTGACGAAGTATGCAAGAGCAGCTTGTAATGCACTATTAGACTTTCTATTGAATAAATGTTCGTTTAATCTTAAATATATATTTTTTGCGCTACCTATGTATTGTTTTTGATTTACTTTATTAATAAAACAATATGGTGCGTCTTAGAAGAGCAAGCCACCTTTTTTATATGGTGCGTCTTCGAAGAGCAAGCCCACGTTTAGATAACACATTACTTTTATCTTCTAAATTGCTTAACACGAAAATAGGTTCGGGTAAAGTTGAGATTCTATTGAAACTAATGTAACTCACATTTAAAGGATATAATTTTACTTTTATTTATTTAATATACTTTCATATACTATTGGACTATGTCATATACAAATTGTCATATTTTGTATGATCGCGTGTAGTCTCTCGGGAGCCCTACTAATGAAATAAGCGAGGATTCATTTAAATAAACAAACCCCACGCATCTCTTCTTACTGGGGGAGGCAGGGGAGGCAGGGGAGGCCTCCCCTGCCTCCCCTGCCAGAAGTATAGAACTGCTCTTTATACTATTTATTTTTTCTTGCTCCATGCTCCGCAAGCCAAAAAAAAATGAGAGTAAGATAATTGTAACATCAGATGGTTTCCTGCTGATTGTCCATTGTAACATCGCTAAGGTTTTTACTTTTAAGAAAGTACTTAGAGCTTTAGGTGTTTCCAGCATATAGCGATCTTTAAAGAGGCCAAATCTAACTAGTTATAAACTAGCCTCTGCTAAATCAAAAGGAGCTCTGTTAGTTTCTGCTATAGAACCAATAAAGAATATAATGAATATAGGGAATAAAGGTATAATAAATCATATAACTCTCTGAGCTTCTATATTAACCGTTAAACTCAAGCTTCCTGTCAGCATTACAACTAATAAGATAGCAGAACTTAAGATTAATTCATAACTAATTAGTTGTGCAGTACTTCTAAGTGAACCTAAAAAAGCATACTTACTATTTGCACTTCAACCTGCTAATAGAATTCCATATGTAGCCAGAGATGATACGGCTAACATGTATAGTATACCTAAGTTTAAATCATTTAAAGATAAACCAGGTGCAAAAGGTATAACAAGGTAACCTAATAATGAGAAAATTAAGGTTATAATTGGCCCTAAGAAAAATAAGACTAAATTAGCCTGTGTGGGTGATACATATTCCTTTAACAATAGTTTCAAGGCATCCGCAAATGCTTGTAAAATACCATAGTAACCTACTATGTTTGGACCTAATCTTCTTTGCATACTCGCCATGGTTTTTCTTTCCGCTAAGGTAATAAAAGCTACTGTCATAAGGACTGGTACTGTTACAATTAAAACTTCTAAAACAGAAATTAAAGAGGGTAGATATATCATATTAAATTTATTTATTTCGATTATACTTTATAGATATATATTTAATATAAATTATTAATATATATCTATAATATGTAGTGTTAAGTATAACAATTTAACCCCTCTTCTGTAGTGTAATATATTTAATATAAATTATTAATATATATCTATAATATGTAGTGTTAAGTATAACAATTTAACCCCTCTTCTGTAGTGTATACCTAGATTAAGGCAACAGAAGAATTTTATATTAAACCATATAGCTAATATAAAAAAAGCGAACTTTTTTTAGAAAAGGTTAGATGTTAGTATATTTTTAGGTATATAAAAGTATATCTAAGAAGGACTATAACTTGGCGATTAAGTACCATAAGAATACTTATAAAATAAATCATATTAGTACTCATTTTAATATATCTTCTCTCCGAGAGCAAAGCAAAGCGAAGCAGAAGTATGTATGTGACCTTCGGAGCGACCATTGCTTCTGTGCAAGGCAAAAGGAGAGCGACCTTCTGTGCTGTACTTCGTCCGAAACATGCAAGGAGGTATCTTAATCTAGGAAGACATCCCAGCCCGAAGAAAAGACACACAAGCCTGCACAAGGAGCAATAAATCTACACTATAGCTAACTAAAGTAGTTAGGTTAGTTATCTGTTATTAACTAAATATTAAGATAAACCAGATATATTATATTTTCTGCGTTAGCTATTAATATACACTATAACTAATATCTTTTTATAAAGTAATATTTTATTATACAATATTTTATTATACAAGTAGTAGTTATTTATAATATAAATAAATCATAAAGCCGGGGGAGAAATTTGAATTCTCATTTTTAATGCATGAAATTAATGTTCTAACCAATTAAACTACCCTGGCAAAAAATAATAATTTGGAATTAAACCAAAAGAGAATATTTTGGTAAGGTTTATAATAAAATATACCAGGTGAATACCCTGATTCGAACAGGGAAACTACTATTCCACATACAGATGTTCTACCATTGAACTATATTCACTAATATCTATTTAGTATCATAACCTTTATATGCAGTGCTAAGCAGAGCAAGCCAAACTATCTGCCTTTTTAGGATTTTTTTATGCTGAAGTGATTCGAACACTCAATAATAAATACCAAAAATTTATGACTTACCTATTAGTCTACAACATACAAACATACAAACAAACATACAAACATACAAACATACAAACAAACATGCATATAGCTTTATAAATAACTATCATTAGTATTTAGCTATACTTAGCTAAATTAATCTATTGAAATATATTTAATTATAATATAAATATAAACTGTGGTTACAAAAAGTCGTTTACAATATTGTATTGTATCGTATTACTAATATATACTAATATATACGTACCATACTACAAATACAATACTAATAACACACTAGCAAGCCAACTAAGCTAAAACACAATACAGTACTTATTACACATAGTAATAATAAATTATTTTAGCTTTTTTATAAAAAAAGCTCTTTACATAAAAATAAGGTAAATCCGACTTGAACGGATAAGATTCTAAATCAAATAGTCCTAAACTACTCATGTCTACCAATTCCATCACTACCTTTATTGCTCCAGATAAGATTCGAACTTACAACCTAAACATCTTCAGAGTTCCGCTCAACCAATTGAGCTTCTCGAGCTATAACACTAGCATTAAAACACTAAGCATACATCCAGATATATTCATCATACTGGGAGTGTCTTAATCTAGGAAGACATCCCAGAAGTAGTATTGAATACTACTGCTACTATATTCCATACATACCATAAAGTAGTATATCATACTACAGTAATATATACCCAGGTATAAGGCGATCTTAGGTATTGTTTAATGAGTAGTGTAAATGAATTAATAAGGAATTAATTTAGGGGGGGGGATTTACCTTTTAATAATGAGTGTACTAATATGTACTCACTCATTAATTTTTAAAAGGGGACGTATTCCTTTTTAAAAAAGGGACTGGGATGTCTTAATCTAGGAAGACACACCCAGTCCAATAAAAAAAAATGGACCTCCTGTCTTTCTTTAACAACTCTTCCTTGACCCAGGTTATAATCCCTCTTCCTTAACCTAAGTTAAGTTTAATTTTCTTGCTCCTTGTGCTGGGTCTTCTCTTCGGACTGGGATGTCTTCCTAGGTTAAGACACCTCCTTGCATGTTTCGGACGAAGTACAGCACAGAAGGTCGCATCCTTCTGTGCTCTCCTCCTTTTGCCTTGCACAGAAGCAATGGTCAGGTCGCATGCAGAAGTGACCTGACCATTGCTTCGCTAGGAGGAGCGACCTTCTGTGCTCTCCTCCTAGCAAAGCTCAAAAAAGAAAGCAAAGAAGTCTTCTTTGCTTTGCATGCATGCTTGCATGCATGCGACCTTCTGTGCTAACGAAGTATGCGACCTTCTGTGCTGTACTTCGTCCGAAACATGCAAGGGGATGTCTTCCTAGATTAAGACACTCCCAGTCTTCCTTGAGGGCTCATACTACAGGGATGTCATTCCATGGCCATGGGATGTCTCGCTTTATTTCGGTACTGGCTGGGGTCACAACAAGGTAGTACTACCTTGTTGTGACCCCTCCCCTCTTCTTTGCTTTGCTTTGCTTTGCTAACGAAGTATTGTGCTTTTGTGCTTTTGTGCTTTTGTGCTTTTGTGCATACTTCGTCAGCAAAAAAAAAAAAAAAAAAGAAGTATTGTGCTTTTGTGCTTTTGTGCTTTTGTGCTGACGAAGTATGCAAAAAAAAAAAAAAAAAAAAAAAAAAAAAAAAAAAAAAAAAAAAAAAAAAAAAAAAAAAAAAAAAAAAAAAAAAAAAAAAAAAAAAAAAAAA